AAAATATTCCTTTAAAAAGTTAGTCCAAAAAGAAATTTTTAAATGAGGCATTACCTTATACTGGGTTTATTAAAAAAACATAAATTAAGATACGCTTGTTTACATATAATGTGTTACCTGGTGTTTAACTAAACATGGAACCCAAGTAGGTACTAACAACAACTAGTTTAGTATAAATTACTAACACCAACTAACCTATGTAAAAATTAAGTATTGATTTAAAAGAAGTAGGCAAATATCCCTGAAGATTGTCTTGTTTACTGATTAACTTTTGAAAATGCAATTTGAGTTAGCTTCACATCACTTCCTCCAAGAGCGTACGTTCTTCCAGTTGGTGTAACAGGATTTACTCGTGCTAGAATGTCCACAACGGAAAGCCATAGGACATCTGCATGTCTAGGGTAAGAGAATGATGATGCTGGCCCACAAGGATGAAGAAAAGTTATTTTCACTTCATCATGTTCTTCATCTTTTTCTAAAACATAGCCAAGCCACCAGTTTTTGTCATATACAGTTGTGACATAGCCTGAAACGTCTTCTAACTTCAGTGTGTCCACTGGTTTAGCCACATTCCTCTCCCAACCCTGCATTTCATCTGAAAAGTTTCACTAGTAGTTCTGATTTAGTGTTGGGAATAAATGCATGGAACTGTTGTGTTCCTTTAATGGTTAGTGCTTGTTTAAAATGGCTTTCCAGAAACAGTTCTGAAACAGCATAATCCTCTTGAGTGGAAAAGGCAAAATCTACCTTTGGTAATTGAATTAAAAAAGTCGGGAATGTAGGCAGCCGATATTATTAGGGTTCTTAGAACCCTTATATTTTTGAAAATATTCATTTTATGTTGTTTTGTTTAAAATTTAGTTCAATATGAATCGCCAAAACAAGCGTATCACAGTAATTAAATTACACAAGTCGGGAATGATGACAGCCGATATTATAAAAAAAATACAATTGTCAGGCTTAAGCCTGATAAACGTTGAATAATGTCAAAATTAGTTAAAAGTGAAAAACCAGCATCAGAAATATTTTTTTTTAACATGAACCCATTAAGACCCCACATTTATATTTTACTATATGGTTTAAAACAGTACTAAGTATTTATACAAATATTTTGAGAATTTTAAATTATGTACTTTTTGAAAAAAAAATTAATCAAAATATATATATGGATTTTGAACAAAATCTTTTCATTAATACCCTTGGCAGTCGTATGCCATTTGAAAGAGCATTTAAAATGCTGCAAAATGACACCTCTCCCAGCTTTCTAACTAAATTAGGACAGCTTCCAGCGCAATTTAAAAAATAAACGTTCACACTTTTTTCGCGAGTTTTTAAAAACTTTACATAGCCATATATCGGAAACGGTGTGAGATAAAAATTTAAAAATTGGTATTTTTCTTAGTCTTAGTACATAGTATAAGTATACCAAATTTTAGGAAAATCTGAAATGGTGAGGAAAAATTTCTTTTTAAAGTGTGTTGATTTGGCATGGAATGGCTCCCAGGCAAAAGGGGTGGATCGTTATTTTTCAACAAAATTTGTTTACAGTTTCTCTACCGAAATCGATGAGACCCGTATTTTTTCTTTTTGCTTAAATTTGTTTTGTTCACCCGTAGGAAATTTTTCAAAAATGGACAGAAACATCGACCCACCCCTTTTTGCCTGGCCAATTATGATTACTTTAAAATAATTCTTGGTGAAGTCGAACGTTTCCTCCAAACTCATCTCAGGCCTCACCAATGTTTTTATTAGAGCGCACACCAAAATAGCCCCCGCATTTATCATGGGGTTATGAGGTTTTTCTACAAAAAAACAAACGCTTATATTTAACCAAAATAAATAAAACATTTTATTACTGTTTTGATCTAAAATAAGTTCGTTGAAATTTCTGCCACTCGGCTCTTGTCCCACGTAGTTATGCACCACGTCAGACCCCAGCAAATCCAGGGCTAATGCGTATGTCAAGGGTTTACTGGACGATTGTATTGTGAAAGGTGTATTCACATCCCCAATGGAGTGTCTTTGTCCATCTGTAGTGCACACACTGACACCCCAATAATTCGGGTCCGATCGTTTTAATTCCGGGATGTAGGAAGCCAACTAAAATTTAATTTTTGGTAGAAAGAATTTGATCGGCCTAAAGTGTATTTAAAATAATTGAACCTTCGCCTCGCCAGAGTTTTTGTTTGGAGTGCGTTTCACCCACTTTAAATACCGACCTATATTGGGTCTCATTGGTGTCGGGTGTAGTGGAACACACTCAAAATACTATCTTATATACTGCCCACGTAAGTCGACCGAGGCGAGATGTAAGAACATCACGTGATCCGCACCGACTGAAGACGTGGCCTTTGCTGCAATCGGTACACTGTTCAAAATTTCATGACCATTTTAACACCAAATTAACACCATACATGGTCTATATAAAAAGTCCAGAACAAATTTTTGCGATTTTGTGGATTTAAATTAAGTATTGAGTGTAAATATAGTTTAGACTTAGTAAGAAATGCAATTCAACTGAATTTACTAAGTCGTAGGAGAACAGAAATAGGTGTTGTTTTTTATTTAAATTGCTCAATAACTATATAAACTGCCCCGACTTGTTAGGGCAAATTAATTTTAATACCCCGATAAGACGAACGCGTAACACATTATTATTTCACATAAAAAAGTACAAAACTGAATATGCTAAATTCATGCCTATAAGCAGAATATGCTTTGATGCAAACAATCTTGATTTGGACTTTTTTAATTGCTCATTGGACGTATTCAAGAAACAATGTAATTATAAAATTAATTGTTATCCATTCTAATTGTAGACATTTGAATGTATTTTTTTGTAAGTGGTTTAATACCGTCAATAAAGTTATTATTATTATATCGATACAAACCAAAATGGTGTTAAATATGGTTCGTTGGTCCAGTGTAAATTCAAATACTAAAATAGTGTAAATTTAACTTTCACACATTATTAAAATAAATTTTACCTGGTGTAAATTGAACTCCTTTTCAGTGTTAAATATTATGTGTTTTTGGTCAAATTAAATCATACTACACAGAAAAAAAGGAACAAGTTCCTTGACGCATTACTAGTATCTAACCAGTGGTAATATTTCAGAAAATTGAACCTTTAACTAGCTAGAGATAATGTTTTTAGTGCGTTCTACCAACTTAAAATACTTCAAGTATTGACAGCTGTTTCCACCTATTTAAGGTCTTTTCAGTATCGAACAACTTGTAGTGTCACACCAAAACAAAGGACCACCTGAGCTTATATACTCTGCATGTAAGTCAACAGAGGCGAGATTTAAGAACATCACGTGATCCACACCGCCTTTGCCGCGATCGGTACATACTATGCAACCAGGAATGCACGGCAAATTGTTTTAATCGTTTTAACAGAGTGCTTTAGGTCGAAGTAACTCTTATTTTACAAACAACATATTTAGTAAACTGAACCATACGGCAGATTGGTTTCACTAAAGTTTTCTGGGTTAATTTAACCAATTTAAAAAAAATAAAATAACTAGGTATCTGGTTTAGTACCGTCAAACTAATCTTTGTTTATATTAACCTTCCCCACAGTTGATTTAAATAAATACTTATGGGTCAACTAAATTAAAATAGTTAAATGAACTATTCCTTTTTTTCTGTGTAGGTGCACTTCTCAATTATTTTTAGATAAACACCGTTTTGGCGTTTGCTGTATATAACACCACTAGATTTAAACACCATTTTAAGATTACCCTTTACACCTAGGGTTGGGAAAATTTCACTTTTTGCTTGTACTTGAAATTTCACTTGAAATTTTCATGACATTTATGAAATTTATTAAAATTTCCTAAATTTCTGAAATTTCATGAAATTTATGAAATTTATTGAAACTTTCAATAAATTTCAATCACTTTAAGTGTAATATATATATTATTATATTAATATTGAAATAAGCCCACTCGGGGACCATGGCAAATTGCCTCTTTAACCTCCTACCCCTCTGTGGGCCCCTGCACCAATAATATAAATAGTAAATACCTATGTTTACCACAAATTTCTTGAGATTTCCTTTTAAAATATTTTTAAAATTACTAAAACTAAAAGAGATATAGCACTTTTTGGTAAGCTAATGAGATTGTGCCACTTTCATTGTTTTATATTTATATATACAATGTATATTATATTATACATATTTATTATTTTTATATATTTTACTGAAATTTTATGAAAATTGAAGAAACTTTATCAAAATTTTATGAGCCAAAGGCATTTTTTATCCGTTTTCCTATGCAATTATATCAAAAGTTAAAGTTTAAATTAATCATGACTTTTAAAAAAATTTTAAAGTCTGATTTAATTTACAAATTAAATTGGTAACTGAATTAAATTATTTAAATTAATTTATGCATATAAGTAACAATAATTACTTATAGTGTATTCAAATCCAAGCCGAACTAAACAAAAACGCCCAGACGCTTGATAACTCGTTCTTATTGGTCGATTCGGAATCTGTTGTAAATTATTATTAAAGGTCCCAGGGGAGGCCGCATGTGAAATTTATGCGAAATTTTCAGTAAATTGCGAAACTTTTAATGAAATTTCTGAAAGTTTCACAGGCAATGTTGAAATTTTCGGATTGAAAATTTAATTTAAAATTTTTAAAAATTTCACTTTTCCCACTAAATGAAATATTTTTATTTGAAAATTTCAACTGTCCCAACCCTATTTACACCACAGATATTTTAAACAGTGTACATACTATGCAACCAAGAATGCACGGCAAATTGTATCACAGATATGTATATATGGCCTCTAGAATTAGCCAACCGGGCTAAACAGTGAGGTAAAAATTCCATATTCTTAGTTTCTTTAAGAAACTTACTTGACCCATTACTGTTATTATTATTAGGTATTATTAGGTGAAGGATCCATTCTTTTAAATAATACCAGTAATGGGTCTAGTAAGTTTCTTGAAAAAACTAATATTATTGAACGTTTAAAGGGTCTTAATTTTTGATGCTGGATGTCCATATCTTAGAAAAAGTCAAAAAAGTTATCAGAGTCAAAAATCTTACAGTCCCACTTTGGTTGTCCTTGCATTTCCAGTAGATCTCATCTATATCATTGCAAAAATCTTGAAATTCAGGAACGATACATTGATCTATAAATGCCCGCGATAACAGGCCTATGCTAGGCGATACAATGCTGGAAAAATCCAATTGAATAACATCGTACTGATTAAGAAGATTGAAAGTCAAAGTTGAAATAGATTCAAAACTTTTTTACCTCGTAAAATTTTCTAAATTTAATTCTTGATTTTCGTTACTTTTGTTGGTTGGTTTCAACATTTCAAATGTTGTTTTTAATCTTGGGTCGTCTTCGCGAATACCTGTGGCTTTTAAAGCCTAAAAATGATTCCAATTTATTTATTTTACGATTTTGCTGGATTTTTTTTAAACTCACGCATAAGAAATTGTCGATTGGTAGAAGACCAGTATCTTGACTCTTAAACATTTCAAATATTGCCACTTCGGGTTGAACATCGTCATCACTGCAATAATTCATAAAAAAAACAATTTTTGAAAAAATATTACAAACTTACGTGTACATGCTATGAAGAAACGAATATTCTCGCCTGTAAATAAGTAAAATTCCCTTCGAGCGGAAATCAGGTCTTAAATTTGATCGTTGGATAGCCGCCTAAAAATGTCATTTTGTAAATTTTCCAGTTGACTTTTCAATTGACACTTGTTTAGACAAATTATAAATCGTGTTTTCATATTATTGTTCCCAAGATCGATCGACATATATCCACAATCCACACAACAAGGTCTGTTCTATCTCGTACTAAATTTATTTATTTATTTATATTAACATACAAAAAATCACTGCAACACTGCACAGTTTAACGGCGGCCATTTTTGTTGTTTACAATTTTTGTGCTTTGGGTTTGTGCTCTGTTTATACAGATTAATAATCGTTTTAAACGTTGTGTTTCTCATAGTAAGCCTTAAAAGAGTCCTTAAAGTGCAACGATTTTACTCCTCTATTGTAAAAAATAAACTTTATTTTATCAGGGCTGTCATAAAACTGTCAAATGTCAATTTTGAGGTTAAATTATAACCCACAAATTAACCTTCAAATTGTCATTTGACAGCCCAGGAATTATTTGTTTATATTTGATTATTTATTAATTTCTAATGATTCTAGTAAATTTAACTTAGTCCCTTTATATGTTGCATATTTGTAAACAGTGCCTTTAGTATTAAAATAAAAAATATTTATAAAATCAGTTAATAAATTTGGCTGTTTTTTAAATTAAGGGTATGTTCCGTAAATCAACTTGGTTGGTTTGGTTTCGGTTAAGGTGTCCCGTAAATGAAAAATTCCTGAAAATTATGTAGTTAAGAAACGCGGTTCCTGAAAAATAGGTTAATCAATCGTTACCGAAACGACCGACGCTGTATGATCGGTTAAATCGGTTACCAGTGCTGCAAACCAAATGGAAACAGTGTTGCCCTAAACAAAATTACTGTTTTTTGTTGGTTATCTAACCTAAAAATTTAACACAGGAGCAGACTTCGCATACAAAATACGTTTTGTCCAAAAATAATTGAATTCAGTATATAGGGTGTTTTAGGTTTGTTTATGTAACTATAGAAATATTATTAAAAATATGTGCAAGTTGTAGTTTATGACACAAATAAAAGTTTCAATAAAAAATCTTAAAAACTTTGCAAGTCCTTTGGATTCAACAAAATGAACAAATTTATGGAGGTTAAAAAAAAACTTAACTATAGAGATTTGGTAAATTTTCACTTTAGCGACTTTTCCGAAAAACGGCAGGAAAGTTGCCAAAATGACAAAAATAGGTGTGGAGGGATGTAAAAGTGCATAAACAATCGGCGCAGGGTGAAAAAGTTGTATAATTATCGCGTATTTAATAAAAAAAGGGGCTGATAATTGAAGTGACTTACCGTGATTTTCTGTGAAAAAGAACCTGCAGCGAACCAAAAACACGTATCTAATAAACGTAGAATTTGAAAGTGGAAGTGAAAAAGCGTGAATTATGAAAAACAACGTCATGAATTGAGGAAAATGCAATTTTTAAAATCAGGTAATTTGAGGTTATGCAGGTTCACAGAAAATCACTGTAATTCACTTCAATTATCAGCCCCTTTTATTAATTACGAGATAATTATACAACTTTTTTACCCTGCGCCGATTGCTTATGCACTTTTACATCCCTCCACACGTATTTTTTGCATTTTGGCAACCCCCAATCCGTTTTTCGGAAAAGTCGCTAATGTGTAAATTTAACACAGTGACTAGAGGCACGCTAACGTACCGCGATTGGAAATGTTAAAGGCACGTTAGTTACGTCATAATTATAATCCGTTTTTGTTCCCTGTCCATTTAATATTTGACATCAAGCTAGATAGCTTATATGGTAGGGCGTTCGCTTGGCATGCGAGAGGTCCGGGGTTCGATACCAAGAAGCTGTCGAATTTTTTTTATTTTTTTATTTCATAAATTTGTTGTTTCTTTTTTAAACAGTGTTCGGTTGGGTTGGGTTGGTTGGTTTGTTTTAGTTTTATCGTAACATAAAATCTACTAGAAGTTGTCGAACTTTTCTTATTTCATAAATATGTTGTTCCTTTGTTAAATAGTGTTTTATTTTTATCGTAACATAAATTTGCCCATTTTAGTTGGGTTTTTTGTTCAATGGGGCGGGGGGGGGGCCAATGGGGCGGGGTCGGTTGGGTTGTGTTGTTGAGTTTGGGATGGTTTGAGTTTATGACGTAACTAACGTGCCTTTAACATTTCAAATCGCGGCACGTTAACGTGCCTGTAGTCACAGCGTAAATTTAATGGAGATTTTAAAGAGTAGGTCGAAAAAAGTAAGTTGGGTTATGTTTTTTCAAAGAAACGTGTCCCGTAAATATGAACTAACCGAGAAAACCAGGAATTTATTTCAGTAACCAGACCGGTAACTCGTGTGTATTTACGGAACATACCCTAATTGTAATAGAATGACAAAGTAAATTTTGTTTTTGCAAGTTGGTACCTATCGCTATTTATGCATCAAGTATAAAAGCAACTCTTCTTACCCCTTTCCCCGCAATGTACTCACGAACCTCCGATACTTTTGAATGAAATGAAACGTTTGAGTTTTATTTAAATAGCGATTATTACCTAATGTTTCTATGCATATCATTTGTTTGCAATTTTTGATGACTAGTTTTTACCATAGGTCAGTTTTGCCGAATACACGAAATCCTCATTTAAATTTAACATATTTTATGATAATTATGTTCTAGTCTAGTATAACCAGTCGCTTTTAAATTAATTTTTATATTTTTATTAAATTATTGACAAATTTTGTTTTGAACATGACCTATGATTTTTCAAGGGTAAATGTTTATTGTTAATAGCTATTTTTGCTTAATTAAGTAGTTTTAAAAATGATAATAAAAAATCTTAATGTTTATTGAAAATATCTATTTTTAAATATAAAACAGCATGCCAGACCAATGGCCCCATTTTGATAAAAATTATCGGAGGTAATACCACAAGTGTTTAAAAATAATTTTCATGAAAGCGCAGTTGTTTATAATTCCACTAGTTCGAAAAACGAGTGGAATTTGTACAAGCTTGAATTAAAAAATCTGGCACAAGCGTTATTTAGGGAGAATATTTCTTGAATGAATATCAAAAATACAAAAATTTGTGTATTTATTAAAACAAAAATAAAAATAATTAACTATTTGCAATATTAATAACTATTTTTAATTTTGACCGTGTTTCTTCATAAATATAACTAAAACTATTAATTTTAACGAGTTTTGTGTAAAAACGTTAAAAAACTGGTTTTGAAGTTTTTTGTTTACGATACCAACAAACCGTTTTCTTAGAAACGTGGTTTTTCCACTTATTAGTTCAGAAATATTTAAAGAAAGAAAGCAAGAATAAATTAAAAGTAATTCGACAGACTTTTAAAAACCTGTTGTTAGAGGAAATATCTGGAAAATTATTTTCAATGCATCGATTTCTCGTGGTTTTCGTTAGATTACTTTTTGACGTAACAATAGTGCCCCATCAATTGTTAAATATTAATGCCTCAACAATAAAAATAAATAAAATATTTAAATTAATAAAAGAATATTGGTTTTTGGGCAAAAAATAAAAGTACGTAATAATAATGATTTATTATACTACAACATAAATTTTAAAAAAGGCCAGCAATGAAGCATTGGAATTGACTAAAATTAGTCCTTTTTTTGTATTGCAAAATAAAATACAAATTCATGCTTTAGGGTAAACGGCCTTCAAACATATCTGTGGATACAAACGTTATGTAAGTAAAAAAAAAACATCATAGCAAACTTACCTTTAAACACCTTTAAACACACGCTATATAAAAGCATACTTAACCTTACAATTAGGAAGCTCTAATCGAATTATAATTAAACTATCATCAACCGACTAAACGCGGTTAGAAGACAAAGGGCCTTGCAGGGTACCCGATTTTAATCGAAAGAAGGCAAAAATTAGCGAATTAGAAGAATTACATTTATATTTAAGTTAAATTAAATAAAAAAATACCCAATTGTTTTAATTTGATTAAAAATTGTCTGTACTCAAATATTTAACAAATATTTTTGAGTTAGATTAACACTTGTTTAGGAGTTATTTAAACTAATGTATTATATTGAAAGTAACATAATTTTCTCGTAACATTAACTATATTATTATACTAAAATGTACAAAAATTATTATTTACCATTTTTATTTGTTTAGGACCTTTTAACATATTAATGTTTGTTAAATCTTTTGAAATTTTAAGATTTTAATTATTATAATTTTTGTATCAAGTAACATATATCATTTATGTTATAAACACTAGGAAGTTTATGCATACATGTACATGTATATAAATTTTTAACTGTGTACCTAATTTTAGTTAAAGTAGTAAATAAAACGCTGTTTTAAGTCTTTTAAGATTTAAAATGTTCTATATACTTGCAATCAGTTTTAATCTAGATCACGCCATTTTTTATATTAAATACAGACTTCGCCATTATGGACATTTTTAATAGCCAGCAAAAAAATCATATTATTAAAAAATATGCGCCTTAGATCCCCTTAAATAACTGAAGAACGGTGCAATTTAATAAAGAAAAGCATTTAGTTGTTTAGATGCAAAATACTATTTGACGATATTTTTTAAATGATGATAAATTGATGGTGCTCGAGTTATGTAGAAGTATTTTATTATATTTTGTCATTAAATATTTTACACAAAACTTGTCCCACTTTAGTAAACAAAATAAAACTCTTTAATTAATCCTTAAGGATTAATAATTATTATACTTATTACTAAAGTAATTTAGTCTGCTGCAAGTATATTTTTAATGTAAATTAGTTTTAATACATAAATTTATTGTTGCCTTGAAGAACCTTTGAAAAATATAAAATTAATACTAAATTGTTTTAATAAAGTCTTAAAATTTAGTCTTGGAGATAAAATAATTATTATGTAATAAAAGAAACAGTTTACGAAGTTTTTAATTACTTAAATCACATCCATTAAATTTAAAATCGATAATACATTCTTTAGAAATTAACTTCAATGAAAACTCACACAATAGCCACCGCATTTATCCCCACATTGGCTAGATTAATTCTCGTCAATTGTATTTTTGTATT